CGAATCTATTTGTGGTGACACAACAATGAGCTGGAAAGGAGACCGTTGTGGTCGTATCATGCTTTCGTCGTGTGTTGGTGTTTCCAGCTGCAGAGGAGGTTGAAGATGCAGGCTTTGTCGTTGTCTGCGTGTGGGCTTCATGACCAACCGTAGTGGGCTTCTCTTGGGTTAACGTCATGGGCCTGGTATGGCTAATACAGAATTGACTTCTACTAGCAGCAATGTATGTCATAGTTTATCACAAGTCTCGGATTTCAAGTGCAATTTTTTTTTTGGTATTCTTGGCAATTTTTTTTTGGTATTCTTGGCAATTAAAAAACAGAAATTTGGATCCTCTAAAAGAAAGATAGGAACCTATACTTACCTCGTGTAGCCACAGCCATCTCTCTCTTGCTGGTTCGAAGGGCATCTGCAGCAATTTGAAAAATCTCACAACTTCTCAATAGAATCATAACAATCATTTCAAACAAAAATTTACCAAGTAACATCCATAAACAGAACCAAAGCACTGTAATGACCAAATCTGGGCACTTTCATATACCCTTTTATGTAAAACAAGAACCCAGCAAAATGCTCACATACCCACACTCTAAGATTCAATTTTGACCACGAAGAACAATTAAAGGCGCCATCTGTTTTGTCAGATCAATTTTGTTTGTCAACAGGAAATAATACTATTCTTCCCAATTCAGCAGATGCACAAGAAATTTCCAGAAGGAAAAAGAAAATTAAGAGAGACAATGCTGTAATGATTTTAGTGTATTTTTTTTACCTTTGGGAGTAGTCTTCTTCTTGAAAATGTTCATAGCGATTAACTTCTTGAAAATGTTCATGGAGTGTTGGAAAAAAACAAATCCTCCTTCTCCTCGTGTTTATGAGAAAGGGGCACAAAGTTGCAGTTTTTCTTCTTCTTCTCTCTCTATTTCTGACTTCTGTGTGTAAATGTGTATAGATGTGGTGGGTGCTTAGCTTAGCTTAATATAATAATGAAACGCTACTTTGGAAGTAGCCGTTACAGAGTCCAGATCCTCCTATTATTCCTTCTTTATCCACCGTTATTTTATTTTATTTTGTTTTTAGAATACTTCTTTTGGTTTATACTGTACTTTTGTATGTTATGAAACATCCAAAAAATTTGGAGTAAATAGTTTTACTAGGTGGATATGCACCATAAATATAATTTGTAAACTTATGGTTACATTTGTGTAATATAATTCCCTCAAGTACACATATCATATATTATGTTTATGTAATTATTAATAATGTATCATTAACTGCTTACAAATGTAAAAAAAAATGTTGTAATGGAGGTAAAGAGATTTCTTCTGTATTAGACCAGAGTGTGTCACCATATTTTTTTAATATCAGGAGTTTTGGAACCGAAACACACAATCCACTCAAACCAGAAAACACAACATGTAATATTAGTTTCTTCTCTATGGTCACTCGAACCAGGGATCTCTAAAACAATGGCCAAAATCCTTTTCAGTTGGAGTAACAACCTCTGGTGTGTCACCATGTTCTGTCATGAGTGTCATCCCACATTCTCTAATGTCAAATTCATAATAAATAGTAGATTTCAGAGTTAGTTAATATGTGAAGGCGAAGTTCTCTTTCCTTTTATATATAGTAGGTTTTAGAGTTAGTCAAATATGTTGTATCAAATTTTACTTAAACATGTGTTGATTGGATTTAGAATATGTAATCCTTCTTCCAAACGACCCATTAGATTAATATGTTAGAATAGTTTGAGCAAGTATTAGCGAGCATAAAACGTTGTATTTACCAGAAATAATTTGCTAAAATGAATTCATTGAACAAGTTTTTGTTGCTAATAATAAGACCTACAAAACAATTCAAAGGTTACATCTTAAATATGAAATATATATACATACAAACATCAAGTCCACTGGGTAATGACCGGGATAATCTCGAGTGGAACTTTCTTTGGACATACAAGTCCATAAGATTCTTCAAGATCAACATCTTTTGCACTCATTCCTTTCGGGAGCTTCCAATCGAAACGGTAAATAAGATTGACAAGAGTCAAGTGTACCAAAGACATTCCCATACCCATACCAGGGCACATCCTCCGTCCACTACCAAATGGCAACAACTCAAAGTTTAGACCTTTATAGTCGATCTCATTGTCCATAAATCTCTCAGGGATGAAAACTTCTGGATCTTTCCAAACATTTGGATTCCTATGAATAGCCCAAATGTTGACATGGATCCATGTTTTCTTCGGAATGTCATAACCTGCGATCTTTATATCCTTTAAAGCCTCCCTTGGTACCAGAAGTGGCACAAGTGGGTTTATCCGGAATGTTTCTTTAATAACCATTTTGAGATACTCCAATTTGTCTATATCTTCTTCAGTGATATCATCTTTGTTTTTTATCACTTCTCTTACCTCGGCTTGCACTTTGTTCATAACTCTTGGGTTTGCAATCAAATGTGTCATCACCCATGTTGCAGTTTGGGCAGAAGTGTCTATTCCAGCAGCAAGAATGTTCTGTAATAACAAAACAAAAGAAAATAAGAAAGTAGAGAATGGGGTTTTACTTTTAGAAGTTTTTCATTACTTACCAGAAGAATTCCTTTGGTGTGGTTTCTGGTAAGTTGAAACTCTCCAAGTCCAATCTCTCCCCTTTCCATTTTGAGAAGCAAGTGAATGATATCATCTTTAATACTCTCATTCTCTAAGTGATGCTTTATGGCTTCATCAAAAAACAAATCCATTGCTTTAAAAACCTTCTCACATTTACTATGTAACCCTGTGAGTCTATCGATTAATCCACCAACAACGGCGAAGCAATCCGCTGCTGCAAAACTCCCCGCAACCTCCATGATCCCTTGAATAACTTCTTCATAACTACTCTCAAGTTTACTCCCTTCAAGACTTATCCCAAATCCAAGTCTACAAATCACACTTGCTGATAATTTCAAAAGCTTGAGGTTGATATTAACCTGTTTCTTCAATGAGGCAGATTGTTTGATGAAATCGACCAAGGAGGCAACTTCTTGTTCTCTGAGATGTCCAAAGGACTTGACCCTCTTTGGGGTGTAGAGTTCCGTAACTGTCAACTTTCGCAGTTCCCTCCAGTATTTACTATAGGGAGAATATGCGAGATCGTTGCGATTGTATGAAAGCCTTGCAGCGTAAGTCATATAAGGTCGTGAGCAACAATCAACGTCGAACGTTTTCAAGACATCTTTCACTGTTTCTGGAGTTGATGCCACAACGGTAGACACGTTTCCAAACTTGAGGGACATTAGAGATCCATATTTTTCAGACAATATGAACATGGAACGGTGAGGTTTTGATCCCAATTGGTGCAAGTTGCCAATTATAGGAAGTCTTGGTGGTCCAGGAGGTAGATTTTTCTTTGTCATTTTCGTGTTCTTTGCAACGAGTATAGATGCAAAGAAGACAATTGCAACAATGGTAAACCACAAATCCATTTTGCTTCCTACACAATAAGGGATAGATTACTTAAAGTCAATTAATAATATCTTAGTTATCTCAATCTATTTAATAAATCTTAAGAGAAATATAAGTAGCATAAGCCAAAAACATGTAAGGTGGATAGGACCGTGCAAACTAAAACTACCAAAGCATCACTCTGCCGTAAGGCATCACAAGAACACTTGTAAGGAAATAAAAGAGATGCAACATCGAAATAAGTCAAGAAAACATATAAATAAGTAAATTACTCAACTAGGAGAGAATATGAGTTTCTTCTATAATTAATAAACATCTACATAAACAGAGAGACAGAGCTCGGCAAGATTACCTTCAAATCTTTAACTTTGTGCAGAAGATTTGATTGAGGGAGGGAGAGAGAAAAGGGAGAGGAAATAAGATGTGTTATTTTTATTGTAACTTGTATTCTAAGACTAGCAGGCGGTGTCAGTTTCATATTTATAGACAATGTGATTAGGTGCTAATATATGACTTTGTAACTACATAAACGTCCACTTTGAGAATGATACATTGAGAATATTGTTTGGCTTAATATATAATTAATAACTATTTAGGACACATGCAGTTTATATTTCGACAAGAGTATGATTAGTTACTCCAATAGTAAACATCTATTTCGTCGTATATAGATTGGAAATACCACAAATATGCAGGCTGCTCTGTTCTTTACAGAGAATCAATGTGTGTAATAAATTAAATAGCACCACAAACCACTTTTTCGTACTAAGACCATACCCTCACATTTTTGGTTATAAGACAGTTTTGATGTTAAGATTTCTTTTCCTAGAAAAAAATTTGACCAGATTTTCATCAATCAATCATAAAATTAATATAGTTTATGTTTGTTTTGTAATTACTATAACATTAGATTTTGGAATCTTTCAAATTTTTATATCATTTTTAGTTGAATACTAATTTATCTTGTGTTCATAGCTTGAGTGACTCCGGCCTATAAAACTTCCAATAATGATGTTCACATAATATACTAGAAATATATCCGCTAATTACAAAGAAAAAAAATATTTTAACAAATTTTAATTTGATAAAAATGTTTTAAATTTTGTTACTGTTGTGAATTTGTTTTATTTTCAAAATTTTGGTAATAAAAAATATTTTAAAGCTATTTTTTAGCGATATAGATCAACTCCGTTCACTGGTTTTATAAATACTGGAATGCATAATTAATTAAATAAAACTACTATTTAAACAAAATACAATCTGTTTGTTAATATGTCTCTCATTAGTTATATATAATATTTTGCATGTTTTGTAATTGAAATGAGTTAGTCATTCTTTTCTTTTTAATCCGCATCACATTGATTAAAGTTTTTTTTTAAAGTTTTTTTTATCACCAGAATGAGATAATATCTTGAGTGATCTGCACATAATAGCCCCATACACCAATAATGTGAAGATCACCCAAGATAAGGTGGCACAATGTTGTGGTTGTAACGAAACAGATCGAATACGAGTGTATGGCTTGGTTTTGTAATCAACATAATTTTGTTGTGGATGTAAATTAACGAGTATGGTGTATGACTTGCTTTTGACAGCGACTAAGAGCATGCCCATTGCAGATATATATGTGCTAGACTATTTACGTATGAAAAACTGTAAAAACTAAAAGAAACAGAGAAGGTGAGACTCTCATTTATTTATCTTAGGAACTCTTTTAAAACTTATATACCACTTTGTTGTTTTATAATAGGTTTAGCATTATTAATTTGATTATCTATTTTATTTCTTTAAAGGATAACACTATTTTGTTTGCTAGATATGGAATACTAATGGATGAGCATGCTCCAAACTATATTTGTTTTTACTTTATTGTCGCTAGTTCATTGGGTCGTATTAACAACATACGGCTAATTTGTTACTTGTTGTAAATTTTAATCAGTCACACGAGTCCTCGAAACCTTTCGCCTATATGTTTGTGGAATAAACAACTAGAAACTATTTCTTCATATTTTAAAATGTAACCTTTTTTGACTGAAGAGTTTAAATAGTAACATTTGGAAGTGTTTTGAAGATCTTATGAAAATTCTCCTGAAGCTCAAGCCAGGAGAGATGATGCAAGGACGCTAAAGCTACCAAAACTCCATAGATCAATGATGAAGTTCCTTCCATTCATTTTTAAAAATGTTGCTTCAATCTCCACTGTTTTGAGGAATGAATTTTTCAATTACATTTGCTAAATGTAACAGCTGTTAACCGAATTACATGGTATGAAGATACGATATGCTTTACGTATTGAGGTCATATGTCTGTTTATACTTCTTTCATTACATTTGTAGCAGATGTTCTGTATCTGAAAGAAACTAGAAGAGAATATAGCCAAGTTATGATATAGTGGCCTCTTCATATTCACGTGTACCATTGATCATGTAATATTGAAGTGATCACACGGTTAGAAAGAGCTATGAAATCTGGATGCTGAAGCTGGTAATAATGCTTCTGTACTACGGTTTAAAACTGGTGATGTTGCTGGAGTTTGAAACGCTCGAGCTTAGACAGAAACACAAAGTTCATGCCGTGTATCAACTTTCTTAATGAGTGAATTCAGATAACGGTTCCTGCCTTTTTGCTTTATGTTGATGATCTAAGACCATGTGCATCAAAGGATCACATGAGGATCATGGGCCGAGGATCACCGGGCTGAGACACGAAAATATATTAAAAATTGGGTTATTTTGGTGATCCGTTTCACGCGAGTGAACCCGTATGATACGGGTTCAAGACACGCGTCTCTCTCCTATTGGACCTCTCGAAGACGCGTTCAACTCGAGGAAAAGAAGGGTTTTTTCATTTGTGTTTCATTTTCGTCTGTCTCTCTCGAAAGAATAGTTCTTCTCTCCCGGAGGCGATTACAACAGCGACGGCGAAATCAACCGACTCATCCATCTAATCGACGGCGTACTCTCTCCTCGACGACCTCATGTGAGATTGTACTCGTTGCATGTCTAAATCGGGGATGTTTCGGTTTGATGGGGTAGTTGGGGCGAAAATCGATTTGGGGGTTTTGATCGACGGTTGTTTAATCGAAAAGGGGGGGTTAGTTTAGTGGTTGTAAATCGAGTTGGGGGGTTCGATTTCTGTTTCGTTTTGGGGGAATCGTAATCGATTTAGGGTTTTCTATTTAGGGTTCCAAAATCGATTTGGGGGTTTCGGGCTAGGGTTGTAGAAATGACATGTGGGTTTGGTATAGTGTTTGTAAATCGTATGGGGGTTCGATTTGGATGCGTTTATCGGGGGTTTGTGATAAAGTTAGGGTTTCGACTTAGGGTTCTGATTTTGTTATCTGTCTTCTTACAGATGGATCCTACAGAAGAGAGAAGAGACGCAAAGAGGCAGAAGGAGTACATGAACATGCTAGGATTCGTGATTGATTCCGAATACGGGATTCCTAGAAAATGTTCATGCGGTGGACGAATCATCAACATGGTCCGAGGGGAGGAAGAGTACGATACTCTTCCTGGGAAGCGGTTTTTTACTTGTCTAAATTACGAGGTAATTTTCATTAATTTTTTAGTTCAGATTTTATACAAATATATCTTTAACTTGTTTTATTTTGCTGTTGTAAACTAGGATAATGGTTTACATTATTGCCAACCGTGGGTTGTTGCTGTCCAAGAGGAGTTCGAGAGGATGAATAAGCGGGTGGAGGAGGCTGAGGAGGTGATCAAGGGCGTCTCCACTATCACCAAACAGATTGAGTTTTTGGAGGTAAGCTAGAACTTAAAAACCTCCAATTGTATAGTTGATTGTTTTCAAAAAGAAAATTCTAATTAACATTCATTTTTTTGTTGTAATGTGAATGTCCAGGAACAGGTTAAGACCCTCTCTGGACAAGTCGAGTATCTCACTGTAAGGCTGGCTGACTTGGAGAGGATGTGCTTCGATTAAACTCTGTAGGTAAGTTCAAATTTTAAAAATCGTTTCTATTAAATTGCTTGAATGTCTTTGTCTGAAGTAAACAAACTGAACTAGTCCTCTAGTTGGTAAGTTAAAGTAAAAGTAAATTTGGTAGCTAGTTAGTCTTTGAAGTAAACAAACTAAACTTTAAATTTAAACCCAACTAGTCCTCTAGTTGGTAAACAAACTTAACTTTAAATTTAAACCCAACTAGTGCTCTAGTTGGTAAAAAAACTTAACTTTAAATTTAAAACACGCGGGTTGTGTTGGTTGCTGTGATGAATGTTGTGTTTATAGGATATCGATTTGATGTGTCTTGAATGCTTGTTGTACTGAACCGGTAGATGACCAGATACAAAGCATTCTAGATGTTAAAAACATTGTGTCCAAACAGAAAATACTAGAACGTCTCTTGGCCAAAAACTCAGAAACCTTAAGTGAAATAGAAGTGTCTCTGAAAAACAAACTGATGACTGAAATGCTTTGATTTGGTTAGTGATTTATTTATGCTTTGATTTGGTTAGTGATTTATTTATGCTTTGATTTGGTTAGTGATTTATTTATGCTTTGTTTTGGTTAGTGATTTGGCTTTGATTTATGTTGGCTTTGATTTATTTTGGCATCGACTGTAACTTGTTTTATTTGTTTTGTTGTTTCATTTGCAGGACACAGGTTGGTGGAGAAGGCTGGTCATGGGTGATGTATTAAAGCTGCTGTTTGTTTCACGGGGAAGTGTAGAGTTTTGTTTCTTTCTACACTTGTAGTGTATTGTAGTGTACTAGTTGTCATTTGGAGTCACGGATGTATCAGTTTGGGTCAATTATATTTTCTGTTTGGGTCACGGATGTATCAGTTTCGGTCACGGATGTAGCAGTTTGGGTCACAGATGTTTTCATTTTCTTTGTGTTTTGAACTTGGTTGATGTACTCCCTATATGTAATGCACTTTTGGTTTATGAATGTACCCATCTCCTTCTGTTATTTCTCTCTTTAGAAGTCTATATAAAACCACAATCTCTTTCTCATCTCTATATTACCACAATCTCTTTCTCATCTCCAACTATGTCAATCTCTTTCTCATTTCTATATTACTATGATCTTTCTCTTAATTCAAGTTCTTGATCGACGGCAAATAAAACAAGATTAACTATTTCAAGCTCCTCAGATGATGCAGTGTATGAAGCTTTCGAAGATTTGGTTGATGAAGAAATTGATGATTTCATTGATTGTGTTGTTGATGTTGAAGCCACCAAACCAAGTAGACGACTTTATATCGAACGAGATCGGGAACAAGGTCACAATCAACTTTGGCAAGACTATTTCAGTGAAAATCCTACATACCCACCTCACATGTTTAGACGGCGTTTTCGAATGAACAAGCATTTGTTCCTTCACATTGTCAATCGCCTGAGTAATGAAGTTCCATACTTTCAGCAACGAAGAAATGGTCACGGAAGGTACGGCCTATCTGCTCTTCAAAA